TAGAAACATCGATGAGAGAGAAACATCGATCAGCTGCCTCCTGCACGCCCCCCACTGGGGATGTGCCCGCAACCAAGGTACATGCCCTTGACTGGAATCGAACCTGGGACCTTTCAGTCCGCAGGCCAACGCTCTATCCACTGAGCCAAACCGGTTAGGGCTCTCCGTCTTTTTTTTTTTTCCTTTCCACACCCAACCCATCACCTGCTTGAGATAAAAGAATGTGTAGTCTAGTTGGACTCAAAAGATCAGGGTGTGTGGCCTGACTGAGCCGATTACTGCCATGTGAGCTTAGACCTGAGTGCTTCCACCTCTGAGCGGCCGCAGAGTTCGGGGGATGACACAGGCTCCTGGCATCTCATAAAGGTGGGGTAATTGTGCCTGCTGTCACCTGGGAAATGAAACAGGACAGGCATTGGGAGCTCCTGGTGCTTCTGCACTGGAAGCTAAAACTCACCTGACTGTACCTGTGAGTGAAAAAGAAAGCCGTCTGTCCTTTCTCCCTTCCTCGCAGGGACATGTGTGGGAGTCAGGGGCCAGGGGGTCTGTCGAGTGAGATCCTAGGTGCACAGAGTAGGAGCTAACAGGATGGTCCCCACTGTCTTGAGTGACCAGGGTTTCCACTCGCGTGGCATCCCCAGTGACCCTGTGTTCCTGGAGTTGTGTAGTGAGCAGCCCTGCGTTGTCATAAGTGCTGAAAGCAGTCATGGCTGGCTCACTCATTCCCTGGTGACCTCCGTTTCCTGTTTTAGGAAATAGAATCTTAGACTATTTAATTTTAAACTGTTGGTTTCTTATAGTGTTAGCATAATACAAAGGCATATACCAGTAACTACTATACTCTCTTATCACCACGTTTCTTTTAATCATAGTATTCGATGTCTTCCTCTGAGATTTTACTCGTTGTCTTGTTTACATATTTGTCCATTATCTCCAGTCCCCGTGCTCGCCCCGCCCCCCCCCCCCCCCTGCAGGCCCCTAGAAAGGAGGCTGCACAAGAACAGCAGCCTCATCATGTTGGCCACCAGTGCTCACATCACGTTGGCACCTTTCAGGTGCTTAAATACACGCATAGGCCCACATACCCCTGTGCAACTGCACATTATAATGTACTTACATAAAGTTGTCTGTAAAGACTAGGTAGTCACTTGGTTATTCCTCCTCCTTTCCCTTTGCCCCACCCAAGATGCACCACATTGTTATTTGGAGGTCTGAGGCTAGAATTAAGAATGGTTATATTGTCTGTAAAACTTACTCAGAGCAGCTGTACCTGGGTTCTTGCCTTGTGCGTGCACATAGTGTCAAAGGACAGTCCCTCATGCTCTCAGGGGAAGCCCACTGTTTAGGACCGAGGACACTTGACCATGATGTGTAGTGTAGTTTGGTCCTGTTCATATGCCCAGTGGAGGTGGTCAGCAGGAGCCATGTATAAAACTTAGAATTGTGCTCACACCTATTATTGAGATTTCGTATTGCTTTCATTATTTGGCCACAAAAATGGACATAATCCTTGTTGGCTGTAACACACTACTAGTATGCTATCCATCTTGCAAAATATAAGACAAGGCCAGAGCTTAAATTAAAATCCCTGGCTTCTTATCTCTTTCCCACAGAAAAGCAAATCTGTGTTGAAAACCGTAAAATTAAGAGGAGAGCAAGGATAGCATAATTTAGTAAAAATTCATGGCACCGAATTCTGAGCTATATGACTGGAGGGATAGGTCAGACGTTAAGGAGATGCTGCCTGCTAATGCAAGTTCCTTAAGATGATGCTATGGAAATAAGAAAGGCATGCAAAAGACATACGTGTTTTCTGAAGATTTCTGCAATGCTTATTCTTTTTAACTACCTTAGAAAAGTATCTTTACAGATTGTTTGGCAACTATACTTATGAGACTTTTGAAATGAAAATCAAAGCTCTTATCCTAAAGTATAGTTGACCTATATTCATTTTAGCATTTGGGTGTTGAGATTTTTGTTTCCATTTGAAAAAGGGTTTATAACAATATCCTCCTATCTCCGCACCCACCTTCCCATCACCCCCTACCTCCTCTAAACTCTAAATTCCTTGTATTTAAGAAGCTCATCGTTGTATTTGGCAGACTGCATCATTAACACTTGAAAAGCATTGGAACATTTTTTTAACCTTTTACACATTTATATGCATAGATGTCTGTGGTGAGGTGTGTAGAGAAAAGGCGTGTGGCTTTGATAATGGTGCTCTATTTAATAAATGCCAAGGGCTATACGAGCAATGCAAGTTCTGCCATTAGAGAGGAGCTGATAATTATAAAACAGGGAAAATCATATCATTGTCTGAAAAAGGGTGATTTTTCTCCCCTTGCGTTTTTTCCTTCATAAGTTTCTTTTGGGTGGAGGTTATAATGATAGGGTATAGAGAATTACTATTACTGGCTGTAAAGAGAATTTAGTGTTACTAGGATAATTGCTCCTAATTTTCCTGAGGGTAGACCTTTTTGCTGGAGCCACTTACTTTTTATACCTAATTTGTAAAAAACATCAAACACAAAATTATGCATATCATAGTGCCGCCACCATACACAGGTGTGTGAACAGGGCCCGGAACCAGTCGGATATAGATCGACATTATAGGCAGTTTATACCGTGCAGGGCAGTTTCCAGGCACTTTCCCAAATTTTTAAATACAGATATTTGCTTTTGGAGAAACGGGTTTCAGATGCATTTTAATCTATAGTACAGTAAAAATCTCATGAATTCAAACTATTGGTGGTGAAGGCATGTCTGAAGTAGTGAATTAGTTAATAGTCAAGATTCATTATATCTTATTCCTCTTAAATTCACAAGTTACTCATTACTATAATGTATGCAGTTACAGATCTTTGTGATACTGGTTTAATTAGTCTGTGTTTAAAATCAGAAATATTTTGTATGTATATAATTGTGTCAAGTTTTCTGTCTTTTGAGGGGAGGAGGTGTAAAGTTTCTGAAAAAATCTATCTCCTTAATCAGGTTAAACTGCCCCAGTCTTGTTTATATTACTGATTTACTTAGTGCACTTTCTTAAGGGGGCAAGGAGTTTATACAATTACTAGAGGCCCAGCGCACGAATTCGTGCACAGGTACAGTCCCTAGCCTGGCCTGCAACCAGGGCCATCTTCCCCAGCTGCCTGCAGCCAGCCCCACCCCCGTTGAGGTTCGCCTTCTGTGTGTGGGGCAACCAGCGGGGTCAGGGCCTTGGCCTGGTGCCGCCCACGTCCCCCACCACCCACCCCCAGCTCCCCGTTCACCATCAGGCGATCGGAGCCTGCCGGCCGGGGAAAGGGACTGAGAGATGGTCAGTGCGCCTCACAGTGTCTGGTCCAGTGGTCATTCTGGTCATTCCACTGTTAGGGTCAATTTGCATATTACCCTTTTATTATATAGGATAACCAAACAAAAGGATCCCAGATTTCAAATTGATGAAGTCCAAATAAATAACCTGTACCTTTAAAAAAATGTTATGTAGCTTTGGGCTTCCAATTTAAATAAATTTATTTTTAAACAGATACAAGACAAAATATATAAGATGTTAACAATTTAAAGTGGTTTTTTTTTACAAGCTATATTTCACATTATGCATTTAAACTCAAGATTGGAAATTCCTTTTATTAATTAAGACTTCTAGAAACTAGAGAATATGAAGATGAACTGAGTAGGCCTAAAGCATAATGGATAGTCAGGTTTGATTGACAAAGCTATAACACATTAAAATGGTATAACATGATTCTTAGAGATGTACAATTATAGAATCATAAATTCTATAAACCAATGGAATATCAGTACAGCAAATTTATATGTATTGGGTTGTTTGAAATTTTGCCCTTCAAATTGGCAGTATTTATTCATTTACTTGTTCATTGAACAATTTTTTACTGAGTGCCTTTTTAAAAATATATATATTTTTATTGATTTTTTACAGAGAGGAAGGGGGAGGGATAGAGAGTTAGAAACATCAATGATAGAGAAACATCGATTCAGCTGCCTCCTGCACACCCCCTACTGGGATGTGCCTGCAACCAAGGTACATGCCCTTGACCGGAATCAAACCTGGGACCCTTCAGTCCCCAGGCTGATGCTCTATCCACTGAGCCAAACCAGTCAGGGCCTGAGTGCCTTTTTATTGGCAAAACATATGTAATGAATAAAGAGCTTATAAAGCATTCATAACTTTTGCTCCATAACTCATTGTTGAAATCAACCTGAAGAGATCATTTAAAGGGGAATGTAAATGGTATGTACAGGATTCATGTCATCTATACTAATAATAGAGGAATATGCAAATTGTCCAGGATGCTGTCACAGTAACAGAAAGGACTAGCAGGCTGCATGGGGCGACCAGGCCAGCAGGGGGGTTAGTGAGGGATGATCAAACAACTGAACATCAGGCTGCGTGGGGTGACCAGGCTGGCAGGAGGGTTAGTGAGGGATGACCAAGTGATTGAACAGCAGGCTTTGTGGGGCGACCAAGCCGGCAGGAGGGGCAGTGGGGTTGACCAGGTCAGCAGGGGGGGGGCAGTTAGGGGCAATCAGGCTGGCAGGCAGAGGCGGTTAGGGGTGATGAGGCTGGGGGGCGGGCAGTTAGGGGCGATCAGGCAAGCAGGAAGGTGAGCAGTTAGGAGCCAGTGGTCCCGGATTGTGAGAGGGTGCAGGCTGGGCTGAGGGAACCCCCCTGCCCCACACGAATTTCATGCACCAGGCCTCTAGTATGGAATAATAGCAATCAACCTAAATCTCCATAGGAGAGCTGGTTAAATAACTGATAGTTTCCTAATGGGCTAGTCAGACACAAGGAGTATTTAACATGGACAGATTCTGGAGGTCTAAGTGGGTACAGCAGATGATTTCAGCTGTCCAGGTCTGGAGAGGATTCTTAGGTTATGCTGATGCCCAGTTACTGCTGTTGTGTGGCTTTTTCTCTGGGAGAGGAGACAGGAGCTGGGCATCCATTGTTAACTGTTGACCTTGTGGTTACTTTGCAGTCGAATAAAGTGCCCGTGGTGCAGCCCTCCCATGCGGTTCATCCTCTCACCCCCCTCATCACTTACAGCGACGAGCACTTTTCTCCAGGAACACACCCGTCACACATCCCATCAGATGTCAACTCCAAACAAGGTGAGAGCCCTGCCCTCCCAGGTCTTTTTCAGTTACGGAGGAGCCGTGTCACGTCAGCCTGGGGGACCTTACAGGGGCCTTTGCTCCCTGTCACTGGGTGGATCAAAATGGATTTTTAGGAGACAAGAATAATTTTTCTGATAGCCATTTTTAAAAACCCAAAAGAATTTGTTGTTGCTTCTTTTATTTTTCAGGACAAAAAAAATGAAGAAGAACCTAGAAGGGTTATTTTCAAAGTGACAGCTCTGAAAAATCTAAGCTCCACAATATAAAGCAATATGTTATACAAATGTACTAAACATCCAGTCCTCGGTGCCTCCTGCAGTTGCTCATTATTTCAGCATGTACTAGGAGTGATGGTAGTGTTAAAAGGTAGAGCCCTAGCCAGTTTGGATCAGTGGATAGAGCGTCAGCCTGCGGACGAAGGGTCCCGGGTTTGATTCTGGTCAAGGGCACATGCCCGGGTTGTGGGCTCGATTCCAAGTAGAGGGTGTGCTGGAGGCAGCCAATCAATGATTCTCTCTCATCACTGAAGTCTCTCTCTCTCTCTCTCTCTCCCCCCCCCTTTATTCCTCTCTGGAATCAATAAAATATATTTGTTTGAAAAAGAAAAGTTAGAAAAGGGACAAAGTAGGAGATTTTTACTTTCAAATATTATCTTTTTGAGCCTTTGGTGATTTCTTTTAGTTTCAGCTATATACCTGTTAGGTTTTATCCTCTTTTTATTATTTACCAGCACCAACTTAGACATAAATATTAAAGTAAAAAACCATAACATGAATCTTACTTGCTTCTCTACATTATTGCCAAGTTCCACTCTGTATCACTTACAGAAAAGCACACAGCATAGAGGTCTGAAAAATGGAAACGCCAGTGGGGGCGGGGTGCTTGGCTGTGGACACAGAGCTCAGGGCCTGGTCTCCCAGCCTGCGGGTCTCATAGTTGAGAGCAAACTTTGAGGTTGAATTTGTTCCTGGGTGGCCTGTGCGCTTTCCATGTACGTCCACACTTGGCCCTCAACAGAATCTTTAGGGGTTCGAAATAAAAGATCCCACATACCTGAAAGTAATATAATGTTGACCGTCAACTATAATTGAAAAGTGAGAGAGAGAGAAATAAATATTCTGTAAAACCAAGTGAAGGCAGAGAATAGACAGGTGAAAATTTTGCCATCTTCAGCACCTCACCCTTTTGTCCAGCCCTCTCTTTGATCTGTAGTGGAAACAACATTAAGTTTGTAAAAAAGAGTGCAGTTCAGGGGCCAGGAGTTTTGTTATTGTTGTTGTTTTTCACCACTGTGAGTACTTCTAGGTTAAATACGTGATGCTTTCATTTCCTGCCCTGGTTAAAATAGGCAACTTATTTGAGGACCTAATTACTATTGGACTTTGACTTGAGTGGAGCCCGTACCTTTACTTTAAGGAGGTAAGAACCACCCATGCAGAGGTGTCCAGGTTTGCCTCTGTTTAGTCATTTCCAGTCCTTTCTCTACTTCCGTTATCAGGGACCTCCAAAGAATAAGAAACAGCAAGGACAGGTCTATGGATTTATGGTGAGAACGGCAACGAAGTCATTTTAGGAAGAAGGCCAAGTTTCAGAGGGAAGATCACGAATATGACCTAGGTTGTGGAGAGTTTGAGATAATCTGAAGGGAGACACGAGGTAGGCAGTTTAAACATCCTGGTCCCAGGGCAGGGCCTGAGCCAGAGACACACACCTGGGAGCCACAGAGATGGAGGTGACAGTGAAAGGCAATTGTAAAAACTCAAACAAGCCATAAACACAAAGAAGCCAGCAGTGGGTTTTACTAAGTTTTTTTTTTTTTAATATATTTTATTGATTTTTTTACAGAGAGGAAGGGAGAGGGATAGAGAGTTAGAAACATCGATGAGAGAGAAACATCGATTGGCTGCCTCCTGCACACCCCCACTGGGGATGTGCCCGCAGCCAAGGTACATGCCCTTGACCGGAATCGAACCTGGGACCCTTCAGTCCGCAGGCCGACGCTCTATCCACCGAGCCAAACCGGTTAGGGCAAGTTTTTAACTATTTATTTAGTTAACAGTTACATGGTGCTTCCTAGGTCCTAGCCCCTGTTCCAAGCACGTCAAAATGAACTTGTTTAAAAGAATAACATATATCTGTTTAGTAGCTTTTCTCTTTAAGAATTCTAGGACAGTTCAGTTTTTAAAAAAGACAAGTTTATGACCAGCTATCAATTACATTTCTATTTTATCTTCTATTTTACTTACTGCTTTGTTTTGTCTTACTAATTATAATTATAGCTTTGCTTCTCAAACTTTTCTCTTTTTAACAAACTCCAGAACTAGAGAAGGCCCAGTGGGCATGACCTAAAGTTGTCTGCGTGCAGTTTCTTTGAAAAGTTGCATTATTTTCTCATTCTACTCCATATACTCTTTGTGTTGCTTTTAATGTAAAGATCCTCTTTCTGATTACTCTTTGTCCTGGACTTCATGTATCTCAGGGGATATGTAAACTTTGGTTTGAAAAGAATGAATTTACATGATTTTGAATTATATTATTCATTTGAGAGTACATTCTCACCAAAATATAAGTTAAAAACCACAGTAGGTTTTTGCTTTTCCTTCATTTCTCTTCTTCTGTCTGCCTTTTGGCTTTATCATGTAGCTCAACTAGTTAGAACATGGTGCTGAGGACAGAATCACTAATTTCAAAGTCCCCAGGAAGCTGGTTAGCTTTATTTTTTTTTAAAAAAAATGAAAACCAAAAGAAGTGTCATGTGCATATTCTAATGCTAGATATAATCATCCAATAAATTAACCTGTTCGTCAGCAGAACCCATTCTCATTCATAAGAAAATAACTTAGGTTGATTTCCCACTCGGAAGCGTTACAGCATTTACCAGGCGACTGAAAAATACACAGGAGTACTTGGAGGTCCAGGATAAACCCATTTATTTTCAGATGTTTCACAGGTACTAGTTCAGTGACTCAGGGTCAGGTCTCCAAATCCTGAGTAAGCTAATATAGAGGAAGCTTTCTCTTTATAGCCTTCGGTTTCTTTGTTTTCTATCTGTTTCCTAACTACGGGCTTTCGTGGTGGGCTTCCACAGCCCCTCCTGAGTCAGTTAGAATGGGGAAGTTAGGTTGTATCTAACTGCTTGGTCTGGGTGGTGCAGGTGACCTCCCCTGTAGCTAAGCTGCTGCATTCTTTGTTTATGACGCCTCTATAAACTGGGAGTAATTAGGAAAACAGGTCCCGCTAGGCCAGATTGTGGAGAAAGGGGCAGTGACTTGATTATAGGCTATCAAAAATGTGCATTAGGTTACTGGCACAGATTCAGATGGCTAGCCCCCCAAAAATGTCTCATTTTCCCCATCAGAAGCACATTAGTTTGTACCTTTCTGTCAGTATGTTGGTGTGTGGAGTTGTGTGCAGGTGTAGAAACAGGAAAGGAAGATAACACCAATCATTTTGTTCTACTCATTATTTCTGGTAAAAATATTTAAAGGAAAGAGCTTTTAGTAAATGCTGGGTTTATTTGTATCTACTTATAAATACCTTTCTATTAATTGTATCCTATTAAATAACAACAAAAACATATCACTTACACTGTGTGCCAGGCACTTTTCTGTATTGCATATATTAATGCATTTATTCTTCACACAACCCAATATTCTATTTTTATTCTGATTTTACAGAATAATGAATCACTTTCTCAAAGATATGTAGTTGAGTGGCAAAGTTAATAAATCCATATAGTCTGACTCCAAAATAATTTTATCCATGTTTATTAAAGTTACTTGTAAAAGCTTAAAAATGTTTAAGGTCATGCCGTGTATAGCCTGCAGCACACAGTAAGAGTTCAGTGAATATCAGTTAAATGAATGATATGAAGTCAGCAGTTGGTAGAGGGTCACACACTTCGAGGAATCTTTGGAAGCAGGATCTTAAAACAATAACCTATTTAGAAAACACAGATCCATTTTCTGCTCATGTAGTGACCTAAGTCCCATCATGTACTTATGTACCTGCAAAATGGTTGATAATGTTGACCCAGCATGGGGAATGGGTCTGTTTAAATCAGCGGTTCTCAACCTGTGGGTCGCGACCCCTTTGGGGTCGAACAACCCTTTCACAGGGGTCGCCTAAGACCATCGGAAAACACATATATAATTACATATTGTTTTTGTGATTAATCACTATGCTTTAATTATGTTCAATTTGTAACAATGAAAATACATCCTGCATATCAGATATTTACATTACGATTCATAACAGTAGCAAAATTACAGTTATGAAGTAGCAACGAAAATAATTTTATGGTTGGGGGTCACCACAACATGAGGAACTGTATTAAAGGGTCGCGGCATTAGGAAGGTTGAGAACCACTGGTTTAAACACTTTTTTTTCCCACTTGTTCATTTGTTCAGTCACTCAAAAGTATTTATTGAGAACCTCCTGTGGAGACAACCCTGGTTTGATACATTGATTGGCAAAACATGGTTTCTTTTTTCCCAAGCTCTATTTAAACTCGTGCAGGAAATCATTTGCACAAACTAACTATAAAACAAAATGAAGAACATCTTTAGTACCACGTTAAAAGTACAAATAAAATCTTGTAGATTCAAAGAAGAAAGAGATTTTTCAGAGCTGTAAAAGTTAGAGAATATTCCATGGGAGAGGTGTATTTGAAATATGAGTAGAATTTTAATAGAAACAGTCCAAAGACTAGCATGGGAAGTGGCATATAGCAGGTGCTAAGTAAATGTTAGTTTTCTCCTTTTCCTTCAGAGCAGTAAAACGAAGTCCAACTAGTTTGTATCTTGTTCTGCTGAACTGCACCTACGCAGAATCACTGATGTGTTCTCCGCACACTCAGAACATGGGCTGGCCTGGCAGCAGAGTTTTAACTTGTCTGCTGAGAGGCATGTGATTGCAAGCAAGTTACTTCTCTGTGTCCCAGTCAGAAGAGCCCAGGACAAACCATTACTTTGTGTGTGCCCGAACAGTCACTTCCACTCTCTAACAAAGGGATTAAAGTAGATAATCCGGTAGTCTCTCACCTCTAACCCTGAATTTCAAGTTCATATTTTCACAAAGTTCTCAAATTCCTTCTTGATTGATATGGTTTTTCTTTTCAAAACTGAGCAATCCCCCTGCAGACCCTGAGGATTGGAGAGGTATGTGAATCTCAGGTGAGGGTGGAGGCCAGTGGAGAAACTCCCATGATTCTGATATGCCTTAGGGTCACCCCTGCTGCTCAAACCTCCCCAGACCCAAGAAGACAATCCAGAGTATGAAATTGGGGAGAGGGGTCTGCTGTGACCAAAAGAAGCAGTGCCTGTAGCCAAAAAAAGAGGAGATTTGAAAAACATTCTTTCAAAAACAGCAAAACACAAGATGATCATGTAAAAGCATGTAAACTCTATTGAAGGAGAGATTAAAGACCTTTCTCCATCCCACCTACTTTCTGTAAGAACTGAGAAATAGTTTGTCCTAACTTCAAAGTCAAATTAATATCAACTGCGAAGGCAACACTTCCTAAGTTACTCCCATATGTTTAAGGCCTTCAGCATCTTTTAAAATTCAAATGAAACTCATAATCAATTTAAACAGTAAAAAAGCAGAATACGTAAAGAGCATCTCCATGTGCTCACCCAGTTCCACATTCTGGCCAATCAATACATTTACAACCACTGAGTGCATCCTCTAAGTCTTCAACCTGGGAGTGTAGGTTTCTATACAGAAATGACATAAAGTCAGACTAGCTGTATAAGAAAACAGTTGTGGCCTTTTTCTATTCAGAATCACTCATTCCCCCCCAAATACATTGAGTCTAAGTTTAAAATATTTTGCATTTTTATGAATGTGTCTTACCCCTTCTTTTCTGTACCCAAGGTAAGATATAAACAAAGAGATGTCATTTGGGACTAGGATTAGGTATAATCTGTAGGCGGTTTTTACAGTTATAGGCCAGTATGAGCTCCAGGGAGTCCGAGCTCATGAAACAATTTGGTGGCACTCTCATTTTCTATGGGACACAACTAATCCCGAGCAGCTTGACCTTGGAGCCCAGAGGACTCAACTTGATGAAGAGCTTAGTTGGAGCTGAAGTGGCAGAGACCAAATGAATCATATCAAGTGTGACCATTATGGGGCTGCAGATGATTCCTAATTAATCTTTGATTCTCTGAGGTATCACATTTCCCAAATCTGTGTGTCCATAAGGGAGCCAATAAAAATATGAAAGTGGCAATTTACCTAATCCTTGAGCACCAGGCAGGCCGTCTACTTATGAAGGTCTGTCATTTTCCATTCTACACAAAAAATAATTGTCTACCATTTTCTTAACCAAAGAGAAATAATGTGGGCAAACTAAATAATTTAAAAGTCTTATTTTGATGGCTTCTATTAGCAGTATATATACTATTTCAGGAATCCCTCAAGATGAACTATTTTATTATTTTTTAAAAATATATTTTTATTGATTTCAGAGAGGAAAGGAGAGGGATAGAAAGATAGAAACATCTATATATATAAAAGGCTACTATGCAAAGTGTCCCCTTGGGAGTTCGACCAGGAGACTGGGAGTTCGATCGCTTGCTATGATGTGCGCTGACCACCAGTGGGTGGCGCAGAATGAAGGAAGGCCCCAGCCGGTAGCCGCAAGGCCCCAATCGGCCCTGATCACCGGCCAGGCCTAGGGACCCTACCTATGCACAGATTTCATGCACTGGGCCTCTAGTCAATGATGAGAGAGAATCACCACAAGCTGCCTCCTGTATGCCCCCCACTGGGGATGGAGCCCACAACCTGGGCATGTGCCCCTGACCAGGAATCTGTGACCTGGTTCATAGGTCAACATTCAACCACTGAGCCAAGCAGGCCGGACAAGATGTACTATTTTAAAACCTGTTTTCTCACATGTTGAAATCTTGAGAAGAGATACCAAACTGACTTCTGTTAAGAAGCGATAGCATAAAGCATTTTATTGCCTTTCCATTGCCATAAGAGTCAAATGTCCTACAAATCTGAACACTCTACCTCTCCATTCTTTTTAATAGGCATGTCCAGACATCCTCCTGCTCCTGAGATCCCTACCTTTTACCCGCTGTCTCCGGGTGGAGTTGGGCAGATCACCCCACCGCTTGGCTGGTAAGATCCTCCCTGCGAACTTCAGCCAGGCATTTGAACATGTTCTACTTCCCATTCATGGCAGTCAGCTTGATGAATGATAACACTTTTGGAGTTGAGGAAGTTTTAAAACAACAAGCAAGGTGCTAGCTTTATTTCATTTCAATTTAAAAGATTGAAAAAACATACAGACATTGAAATCAATTGAACCCATTTGCTTATATGTATAGAAAATGACTAGCATTTGCTTTGAAGCCTATAGTTTTATGGATTCAATTTGTGGTTTGGGGCATGTGCTATGCCTGTACAAAGTGCTCGGTGTGGTTTTCTTTTCTGGTTTTTTTTTATGAAAACATATATTTGAAGAAAACAGACACATTGAATATCTATATACTATCTTTGCTTATAAATGGCAAGTGAGGTAAATGACAAACAGAGAGAAATTTAAAAATACAAAAACATCTTTTGAATTTTAATGTAAGTTCCAGCTTGAGTTCAGAAAAGCAAAAAAAAAAAAAAAACCCTAATGTTTGGGCTTTTTATTTTCCAGAATTCAATTGCTCTTTGTTATTTATAAAAAATCCTTAACTGCTGCCTTGAAAGTTTTCTAAATTGTAAAGGTAAAGGAAAGAAAATATATCTTAGGAAGGATTTTTTTTCTATAGTGTAGCTTATGTTTATCATTTCATTGTGAGCACACAACTTTCCCCGCTCCCACTCCATCCCTTCTCCATTCCTGCCCTCCCCACAGCACTCCATGGAAACAGTGCTCCAACTTTGGCAAAAGTTTTCCCTCCTTTCTTCAGCGGGTTCTCTGTCCCTCGAGCCCCCAGGTCATTGCCCCGTCTCCCTACCTTGACATCCTTACATTATCTCTTCTTCAGCAAGAAGGGGTTATCCTGCCATGGAAATTTCCACTTACTCTGTAGTACTAGCCCTCTCATCAATAACTGTTTGCATTTAATTGATTATATGTACATGTTCAGTCCTACACAGTCATTCTGTCTGAACTTAGCTACTTAGGGGCAATAATCCTGTGTTGCCTTGTGTCAGTGGCAGCTGGAAATAAAGACTGTGTAAGTGGAAAATGTGAGATGTGGGAAAACTGGGAGAGAGGACTTGTCAGAGTGGGGGAAGATAATTCCAGTGAATTGCTCTCCTGGGGGGGGGCGGGGTTAGGGGACGAGTGCAGTGGCTTTAAAATACTTATTCCTTTTTATATAAATATGAAGTTGTATTTTTTCTTCTTTTTCCTAAAATTGTCAAAGATTCTGATAGAGAATCCACTAACCTTCTCTGAAAGGATTATTTCACCATCCTCAGGTTTCTGTTATAGTAAATAAGCATTTGTCACATGCCCACTTTGTTCAAAGCATGAATGGGGTTGGAAGAGGGGAAGGGATAAAAGACAGGTAATTCATGGACTAGTTTGTTTTTCACGTTGAAGGTGGGAGCTTTTCTTCAAGGCAAAAGATACTTTATTGGGTGGAGGGTAAGGAAGGGAAGCAGTTGGATAACCGAAGAAATGCCATGGTCTGTAATAAAATTCCTATTTGAATGCCTCCCTCTTCTCTCCTCATCAAACTCTGACTGCTGGTTGGTTACTCACGTTTTGTCATTGATGGGTTCCTTTCTTCTGTGACCTCAGGCAAGGTCAGCCTGTATATCCCATCACGGGAGGATTCAGGCAACCCTACCCATCCTCACTGTCAGTCGACACTTCCATGTCCAGGTAGGTAGAGGTGGAAACTGGGCACCCAGGACGAGCTGCTCTTCTGCGCTTGCATCTTGTGCGCCTCTGCTTGCCTCTGGTCGGTGGGCTAGGAGGGTGCGTAGCTCAGCCCCGCGTCTGTCTGCGCAGTGTGCCTGGCTCCCACACTAGGTGTCCTAGAGATTCCTGGGTAGGAGCCTGACTCTGCGCCCCAACAGCCAGCACCAGCCACACCCGCCAGGGGGAGGCACTCGGCCACGCGGGAGACTGTGCCTCCAGAAGACCCCGATGCCACCCGGCAGCAGGATGTGAAATGTCCCGAAAGTGGACAACCTACGCTTGTTTTACTCACAATGCGCTGGGGATGTGGTAAGGGGGGGAGATAAAGACTGGTTTGGTTTGAGTTCCATCCTTGACTTTCTCTGAGGAAAGTTGGATCCGTTTAATGTGACAGTGTTTGAAAATGCCCAGATAGTCCAGAGCCTCCTGGACCACGGCTGTCAGAAGAGCCGTCGCTCAGCCTGGCGGAGGGCGGGTCCTAGTGTGTGAATCAGGCCCTGTGGGGACGCGGTGCCAGCGCAGCTCTGGGCGGCCGCGCCCCCTGCTCTGTGGGACGCTTGCTTCTGGACAGGATGGCTTCTGTGCCTGTGCTTGATGTACACACCCGTGCGGTGTGGCATCTGTGTTCCGTGTCGCTTTCCCCAGGGAGCATTGTCGTGCCGGAAGTCAAGCTTTGGGGCTCGTCACTGGTCATGAATCTTTACTTTTTATGTAGGTATGAAATTCGCAGTTTGTGTGGTGAATTTCAGCTTTTTGAAAAAACATTATTTTTACAAACAAATTGTAAATCCAGCTCGTTGGAAGGGGATGAAATTAACATTCCCCCCCCCCCCAAAATATATTTTTACACTTTTTAACACTGTAAGAACTATCTGATGACAGGAGTTTCTCCCAGGCATCATGTATTTTTGCAAATGGTGCATTTAGCAAAGCATTATTATTTGATCAACTATTTGTGTTTTTACCATGCCGCCTTAATTTTTTAAAAAAAAATTGTTTCTGAAATATTACATATCCAAGCAGAGTTCCTTCTTTCCTTCCCAGATGAAGGAGTACATTGTACCGGCTGTGATGAAAGACCTGGAATGTTGTTCTTGCTGAGTTGTTTACTTTAAAACAGTTTAAAAAGCAAAGATTTCTAAAGCAGACGCAAATTTATCCAACGTGCTTGTTGAAAGTAGCCTTTATTTATTTTATTTGTCTTGCATGGCAGTTTCCCTCCTTTGTGTTGGATGGTGGTGGATATTTTAAGATGTTTTTACACTCTGCAAGCATACTCGGGGAAAGCCTTTGTTTAGCGTGTGTAGTTTTTGCCTTGATGTAGAACTGTATGTGTTCTTCCCTTTGGTTAAACCCTTCCCTCCATTATGTTACCCGTTTTCCATAAGGTGAGATCTCTTAAACATTCTTTCTGTGTAGAAAATTACTCTGGATGACAAGGGCAACCTTATTAAATTGGGGATTGAAAAATATCTTCCTGTCCCTGATTTTCTCAATTGTTCTCCTAGAATTAATAAAGAAGACAACAATGTGAGAAGACTTGTATTGTGGTGGTTTGGTTGGGAACATCGGCAGAGTTTTTTAGATGTGATTTCTTTAGCTTTCATTTAAAAACCTTCGAAAAGCTAAATCTTACTTGTTATATTTCCAATAAAATTGTTCTTAATAAAATTATTTGAAAACTGCTTTGCAAGTAAAATGACTCGATTTCTTTTTAATCCTGTGGCCTAGAGCTGTCCCAGGAAAAAAATGCCAGATTCTACTATTAGTTTGGGGGGAGAAAGTTGTTACACCGGGAATAATTATAAATATTTTCCACCTGAACACAGAAAGGAAAGAAATTGTCAGCCTATTGTCATTTATAAGTAATACTCCTGTGTACAACTGCCAATAGCAGTTGGTGGATTGTTGCAAAAAGCCATCTAGCTTTGGCTGCAGTGGCCTCTAGTGCGGATTGTTTCTTCTCTTTCCTCCTCTAGGTTTTCCCATCACATGATTCCTGGCCCTCCGGGTCCCCACACAACTGGCATCCCTCATCCAGCTATTGTGACGCCTCAGGTCAAGCAGGAGCACCCCCACACTGACGGGGACCTGATGCACGTGTAAGTGTGCGTGGGCTCCGCTGGGAGAGCCTGAGGATGCTGCCATGTAGACAGTTTCTTCCTCCCAGTCGCACCTTCCCCTCTCTTTATTACGGAAATCGGTTAGCTCAGCTTCCTGTGGACTTTTAGTGGGCTTGATTCTCACTGCCAACTAACTTTGATTTTGGCATTGGAAAGGAGCACAGACCTCAGTAGATCAAGGGAACCTCGCCGAAATGGAGTCATCTTCAGAGCACGGGCACTGGGTAATCTTGAGCTGTGCAGCCACTTACTGCCCGATTTCAACTCGTTCTGATTGTTGGGGAGCCAGCCCCCGATGATACCTGAAAAGGACTGGGGAGTCCAGTGCCCGCCCAAGATGCAGTTTTCCTGTTTTGAGGCTTTAAAAGCATAGAAGTCCAGGGAAGGGGGCAACCCACACCCAGGATTGTATCAGGCTGTTACTGGGAGGGTGGGGTAGCAGGAAGCAGGAGATAGTCCATAAATGCCCTCCAATGTGGGCAAAGCCAACAAGCATTTATTTGGGGGAGAGAGGCTGAAGTTTCATTAGCGTCTCAAAGCGGCCCTTGGCCCTCCTTCCAAAAGTTAAGAACCTGACTTCTGAAAGAGGAGTGACCACTTACACTGTAGGTTCCGCTTTTCCTGAGGTGACCAAGGAGCTGGGCCTCAGGGCCCTAACTGGAGCAGCGGTATACACCCATTTCCATTTGGTGTTCACACTTCCGTTGCTCCCGGGGAACGTTCTCAAACCTAAGGGTACTCCCTCACAAAGGGTTGCTCTTCTCTGTTGATGGTGTTCCAGGCTTGTAGAGTTCGCTGTGTAACCAGATGCTCTGCTACTGTCCACCCATCTCTTCCTTCTTCTGCCCACCCCTCCCCCAACACCACGTCCCCCTTTCAGGAAGCCTCAGCACGAACAGAGAAAGGAGCAGGAGCCCAAAAGACCTCACATTAAGAAGCCTCTGAACGCTTTTATGTTATACATGAAAGAAATGAGAGCAAATGTGGTGGCCGAGTGTACTCTGAAAGAAAGTGCAGCTATCAACCAGATCCTAGGCAGGAGGGTAAGTAGTGGGATGGCAACTCCGTGATTGTGGGACGCGGGGGCTGCTTCATTAGAACCTGCCCAAATGCACTTGCACGTGAGGTGATCATCGGATTCACAGGGGCCATCACCAGCCACTCTAGGAAGTAATCAAGAGAACAAGCTGTGGTGATAACTTTTCCGAGGAGTAAATGCTATAATGGAGTTTAAAGTTTTGTGACAGGATACAGATATTAGGCAGCTAATTACCTGATACATGTATAATTAAAATTGTGACAAATACTGTGACTATGAAGAATAAGAGTCTATGAGAAAGAATAATGGGGCTAGGAGAAGGGCCCCTCTGAGAAAATAGTATTTAAGCTGAGACCTGAGGGATGCATGCGTAGGGGTTAACCACGTGTGTGAAATCCGGTCTGAAACAGGAGAGCACTGATCCCACATAGGGAGCAACGAAAAGGCCTGGGACAACCCGCATGAACCTGGCCGATGCTGGCCACTTTTTCCAAGGTAGAAGCAGATCTGTGCTACTCAGAAACTTTGAGTGGAAGAATTTATATGGGCCAGAGAAATCTTTATTCTAGAAAAATCACTGTCTGATTCTCAAAGTGTACATGAGCCAGGCTTCTGGATTGCCCCCTTTTTCATCATTCTGTCACCTACGTAAGATATTTTTCTGAGAACATATTACGTACCAGGCACTAGTCTGAGACTAGGACAGATACTGAGATTTTTATATCCAACCACCAGGTGAAAGGCTAGTCAGTTTTTCCAGGGGCTTTTCTCTGGATTGAAATGCTTTTAGTTAGGTATCTGAAGAGTGGTGGGAAAAAATTGAATTTTTAAATTCAAATCACATTTTCTCTGTAATTGCATTATACTTTTAGAAAATGCTTCATCATAGTTGTTGATGCTCTTCATAAATGTGTGGTGGCTTCAAACTATGCAGGTGTATATTTGTTTTTGAACCCTCTCAAGAAATTCGTGATTTGCAAATGAACATTCGATGATGGGGTCTAGCAACCTTTGTGAAACCTAGAGGACCATGTTTTATCTGCTATTGATTATCATTTTTACCATGTTTGCTACAAACCTAATACATTTTAGCATTCATAAGAGAAAGCATTCAGGAGATTTTAGGCAGAGAGGAGCAGGCTTTCTTGCATTGATTCCTGTTGGATGGCAAAAAAAAAAAAAAAAAAAAATGCAGCTATTTCCAACCTGCAAGACACCAGGGTTTCAGGGTCAGGGTGCAGTGACAGATTATAGCTTTTTGGTGCCCTGTGTACAATACTCTATATGTCCTGTGGATCCTTAAACACTTAATAACAGCAATTACAATGATTTCCCAAGCCGATGAGTGATTTCCATCATCTTTGAAGAATTTCACCTTAAAAGCTTAAAGACTGATGACCATTTCCCCTGACCCTTCAAAAGGAGAAATCAGAGGAAAAGAGGAGTTGTTCTTCTTTCATCTGTAAAACTCCTTGTTTGGTTGTGTACTTTTTTGTTTAGTTTTGTTTTCCTTTTTTGAGTTAAAGGTCCCCTGTCCCTCCAGCAGGGATTCTTTTCCTGCTCAGGAGACTGGGGAAGGCTGTGCTATGGCGGCGTGCTTCCTATTTTTCATGCACGTTTCCCACAATTGCTACTTTCTCAGCTCCCTTAACCATCCCCAGATCAGAGCATGTGTCCTAAGGGATGGTTCTCATTTGGGGTCTCTCTCTGTGTTTGATTTGCACACCTGTTTCTATTTATAGTTTCTGAGATCTCTGATTAAGATCAGGTTTTCTCCCCTTTCATGGCTCCCCTCTGTCAGAGTAGCCCCTGATCCTTCCTAAAGTCCCCGGCTTTGCCATCGTGACGTTTTACACTGGGATGATTATAATTCTTAAAAGGGAGCTTAAGTTCATTCCTGAGCATTTTATCTTTGGGTTTTTATACATTTTATCGTCTCTCTAAAGAAGAAGTGTTCATGCGCAGGAATTAATCAGTTTTCTTCTTATTATTATAAATAATAACACAAATCTAACTTTAAGATACACTTTTTTTTAGATCTTCCAGGCTATTAAAGGGAAGTCCATTTATTACAAATGTATTGTCAGGATTTTAAAATCTTGGAACTGTATAAATGTCTTTAAGTTAAGTGGGTATTTTCTCAACAACTTGGTGAAATCTTGACAATGAAATTTAATTTTTAAAAAAATTAACGCAGTTTTTCAGTAAGCAAAAGCAATAGAAAAGCATTTTTCATCGGGTGTGTTTCAGAAATTCCAGTAAAGAAAGATCATCTTTCCAGTTTGTATTAGACTTTATTTTGTTTCAGTGCAAAAGTTTAATACCATTATTTGACCTACCGATTTTCTCTGGTGAATGATCTTTCATTGTGCATAGACTTTGAGCATTAGAAATATCAGGAAACTAAAAGGAACTAAAAAACACATGTAAATGGTTTAATTTGTGACCTGCTTTTTCTCCTTGCAGTTTGCTCAGTTTTGTTAGCTTGGTGTTTTTTGTCAACCCTAAGTTTTCAGCTTGAACTGAAAAATACCTGGTTGCTTGAGTAGAAGACCCAACTTCCCAAACTTGGGGAAATTGTTTTATAAAACTTAATTCAGGCTTTTTCAGCAAGTTATAAAGCTGCCATAAGTTATATAAAATTATAGTGATATGTTATGGTAGCATTAGAGAGATATTATTTGTCAAATGAATAAACAAATTTACAAGGTAAGACTTCTTTCGCAACTTGAGTCCCTTTTTGCCTCCTTTTGTGTTCTTCTGTGGTAACACTTTGCCTCCTGCCAGTCACAGTTACTGAATACCAGAAGTGTGTAAATATTAATGATTAGTCTTTTCTCAAAAAACAAACAAACAACAGCACAGAAAAAAACAATCAAGGCTGCCCTCCCCCCTTGTGCTCAGTTTGTTTGCCTCCCCCTGTGGAGGGCTCTCACCAGGCCAGCGTAGTGTCTCAGGTTTGGGAACACTGCCCCTTGGCAGGTGCCACGTGACTTTTCTTGCCTGGTCTAAGCTGCCAGGGCTGACCCAGGCCTCTTCCTAGGCGCCTCTTGACTCAGCGTGTTTACTCTACTAGTACAGTGCACTGGGTCTCAGGTAACTTCCAGGTGTTTGTTTGTTTGTTTCCTGTGTCCCCTCCCCCAGTTATTTTTAAGAAAAGCATATTACCTGCTTTAGGTTCAGGCCAAGTCTTGCTGTGTGTCCTGCTTCTTAACTTTACACTCTACACTTCTACAGCAATTAAAAAATAAATCATCTACCCTGTCCAACACAGCGGCCCTGGCTTTTAAGAGGCTTTCAAAGAACACGGACTTAGTTGACCTGCTGGAGGCTGGAGTGGTGGGTGGGATGTGGCAGGAGGGGCGGGGCGTCAGTGCTCCTCCTGAGATGGGCTTCTCTTGACAGACAAGAGCAGCGGCTGTTTCCGTTTTCCCCAGGAAAGCTTCCTAGCCTGCCTTCAGGGGCCGTCCCGTGCTGAGGACTTTCTCATCAGCCTCTCTCGCTCCTTCCTCTCCCCAATCCTGTCTTTTCTTTTTCCTTGTCTTGTCATTAATAAAATACAAGAACAGGGGAATTAAAGTCAATATTCAGGGTGGACATGAGTGAGAAAGACTGGCCTAGCCCTGCACGGAAGGAGTGAACTAGGAAGTTCCCTACCCCCGAGAGCTGGGAGAGCAGGCGTGGAGGCTGGGCTGATCCAGAGTGGCCGTGTGCGGGTGTGCCTGTGGACTTAGGTCTGCTCCTGCAGCTGCCGCCTCCGTGCCATCACCTCAGGACAGTGGGGGTCCCCCAAAGCTCAGCCAGTCTCCTGGAAGGTTCTGCTGACAGATCCGGGCACTGAGGAAGTAGGGAAAATATTTGCAACCGCCTACTTGGGGCCTAGGGCAAGTTATGGGCAAATATATGCAGAGCAGTGTGCAAATAGAAGCTACTTAAAATCCCAAAGGGATGCCTTGCCCTACATAAGCTATTTTGCCATATACGTATATATCCGTGATGTGAAAGGGAAATGGGAAGTTTGCAGGGTATCAGCCACTGTATTCTCCAAAGTAGGTACTATTGCCTCAAATCTCGATGGCAAAGTAAACTTGGATAATGCTCCTTCTTTCCATCCGAAGGAAGCGAAAGCCCAGCACCATGAGGTGTGCGTGTGTGATTGATTGTACAATGTTATCAGTGTTCTCCCGGGAGACAAGCAGCGTTTATGTACGTGTGAGGAGAGGGTGAAGGGGCTGGGACAGACTGACTTTTGACGTCTTGCTCTACGGACAGGATCATATGATGAAGGTTTCAGGCTCTTCATATGACAGTGGGAGAGTGCCCGTGCGAAGTGAGGATGTGTCTGTGGGAAAGACATCTGGAAGTTATCACGTTTTGCATAAATAAGTGGTACTTAGGCTCAGATATCAGAATATGCTACAAACTCTGAAAAGGGCTAAATTGGGCGTTGAGGTTCAGCAGTGAAAGTTCTTTTTAATTTGTATTGGAAAAGAGAAAGGGGGGGTGACAGATCCTGTTACTTTGGGTACTTGGGTTGACTTTGATGTGTTTCCTGTGATATCAGAGAACAGAACAGAGAGACCAAGGTTTGAGTTTGTCTCCAGCCACCAGACTCCAGCGGGATGTCTGCAGCGCTCGGTCTTCTGCCATTTACAAATAAATCGATGTTTAAGTGCTTAATGTTTTCGTTCCTCGGTGTTGAAACATGAACTCTATACTACTGTGTCTATTTTGCTCACTTCAGTTTGTCTCTCCCCTCTCCCCCACTTTGTTTCAGTGGCACGCCCTCTCCCGAGAAGAGCAGGCGAAGTATTATGAACTAGCGCGGAAGGAGAGGCAGCTTCATATGCAGCTGTATCCTGGCTGGTCGGCGAGAGACAATTATGTAAGGCCCGCCGCGTACCCAGGTCCTCTGCTGTCACTCATCCTTTCTTCCCAGGGCTTTCGTGGAGGACGTGTGTTTCACAGTGTGGCTAATGCTGGTGCTATGTCCTATTTTTGGAAGTTAATGGACTTCATAATGTATCATCACATTTTGAAAGCTTAGAGCCGTCACAATTTCTTTTGGCTATATAAGTGCTAATTTTTTAAATGAAACTTTTTAAATAAATAAAAAAACACCTTATGTTTTCTTCCATACAAAAAAAAATTAAAAGACCTTATTTATCATTGAAATGTTGGCAAAAAAGATTTTTTTAAGCCCATACACTCATCAGGCTCAGTCTCCCAGCGCCTCCTTAAGAAGACTGCTAGTTTTCTCCCCTGCGCTGGGCTTCTGTTCCTGGCTGGTAATTATAATTAGCATCTTCTGGGCAGAGCCTTTGCCATGCCCTTTAAGTGGGAATCAGCTTCCCGCCCAAAGGGTTTCAGAAGGATCCTCTTCTCACCCTGCCCTGCATCTCCTGGATGCAGTTTGCCTGAGGGGGCAGCTGGCCTTCCCTCTCTGGCCCAGGGGAGGGCTGTGCTGTGCTATGAATCTGTATAGATTGAATGAGCATTGCATCTTGAATGTCTTTGAAGTTTCTGGCTCTGACCCTTAAGTAGAGAAGTGACTTTTTACTTGTTAGAAGAGATAAAGGAAATGTTCTCTCCCTCTTGCTCTCTCTTCTTCTGTCCATATGGAGAGATGGGAAGAACGTTTTAAAGGCAGCCAGTGTCATGTGAATTTACCTTGAAAGATTTTCCTCTGCACAGTTTTTAAAGGAAATTGTTTTTGCAAAACTTGATTTTACGATTGTCCTGAATAAAGGGGAAAGCCAGCTTTGTTACATACAATTTTTATCATAAATCAAAATAAGTCTATTAATTACTAAGGCAAACAAGTCAATCAAGTGATAGCACTTTAGCTAAAGGTATTCTTAAAATAACAGTATGAGAATAGTCTAAACAAGACTATCCTTATTGTAGCTTAGCTTTTAGTGTCAGAATGCTATTCTGATCCTCACTGAGATCATATTAAATACAGTTCAATGATTTACTATTAAAATGCCCTATTATTCTATGGCATCACAGATTTCATAACTTTAGTGTGTTTTTATAGCTTTTATAACTGAGGTTTTCATAAGTCAACAACAGTGCACGTATTTTCTTAGGTGAGATCAGCCAAATATTTATTAGAGCTTTTAATAGCCTCAGCATTAGATATAATTTTATGAAAAATATTTTTATGCTTACCACCCATGAATTTTGTTTTTTTTTGTATAGGTTGACATTAAGGCATCCAAACTATGTAGCTCTTTTTGTTTACTATAACTGTAGGTTCTCTTGAAACATCCGCTTGTCCTTGAAATGTAGGCTAGGTCAGTGGTCACCAACCGGTGGTCCGCGTTGGTCCGTGAGGTCCGAAAGGTTGGCGACCGCTGGTCTAGGCTATTTCACAAAGGCTGCAGTCACCTGTTCTAGAGAAGTGCTGGCTCGGGCGGTGCTCTGGTGAGACGAGCTGTGCGGGGAGGGACGGGGACACAGCCCAGCACAGCCCCTGTGGTGAGTTAGGTATGGCTGTGGCGGTGAGCTCCGGCTGAGGGAGGGGTCGGGTGGGTGAGAAGCAGTTCCTGGAAGAGATGACACTTGAGATGAGTGTTAAAGGACAGATGGGAGGGAGAGGAGAAAGTGAGGAAGTCCGTTCCAGACATGAAACAGCCTCGCAGCATCTTGTGAAAACCATTTGAAAGGGCGATGGGGGTGCCTGTGAGAAGCATGCTCTCCCTCTGTCGCTCCCCTCCCAGAGCACTCAGTAACCTTAGAGACTGAGTTATTCGGTGATCACTCACACCAGTTCCCGCCGGTTGCCTTAGTGTTTGTGAGGATAATTTCAGTCAACTTTCCAAAGTCTTATGGCTTCAACAGTCAGGCCCGGCATGAAGAAAAACTATCTTGATGTGTATAAACACATGGTCTCATGTATTCACACAATATATTCAAGATGATCTTATAGTTTTATTTTTTATTGTTAATGTGATTTTATACATATTTTCTCTTCAGCTAAGGATATGTTTATTGATTTGAGGGGGGATGGGGAGAGAGAGAATGAGAATGAATGAATATGAGGCATCTGTATCTCTTCGTTGACTGCCCATCTGTATTTTTGTATCCCATTCACCCATGTGTTCTCAGTACAGTTTATAATATGACACTGTGCCTGTCTTCTTCCAGGGTAAGAAAAAGAAGAGGAAGAGAGAGAAACTACAGGAATCCACATCAGGTAGGCACCCTGTGACTTTTCAGTCAATCCTCACGCTTCTGACCAACACCTTTAAAGTAGTTTGCATCTTTCTACACACACACTGCTTTATTCGGCAGCTGTATCTTGTAATACTTCCACTTTGCTTTTCCTCCTGAAATTCTTTAAAAATGTTTTAAGAGACCTTTCTTTTCAATGTGACTTTGTGTTTAGGTACATCCAAAAACTCCTTTCCCCAACCCTGTCCCCTGGAATCCTGGTTAACTGTGGTTGTTTGTTTTGCTTTCTTTTTGCTTCTGTTGTCTATGTTCTCTTTGCTTTATTAATACTTCTGTTCTTCTATTTGCAGAACTCTTTACAGTAAAAATGTTTATGATGATTCTATAATATGCTACCTTATATCCCCTTGAGAATCTTTGTTGTGGTTTAGGTTATTTAAAAATATAAAACATGGTGTTAGGGTTTATCTTTCCTACACATTAATTCAAGGCATCAATCAGTGAGGTCCTATTTATTTCCCCTTTTTCTTTCATTAAAAGTAAGGTCACTTGTACTGCACAAATAAAAATGGCTGGTATAAGAACCATAAAGAGTAAAGCAAACAGGTCCACTTGATGTTGTAGCTACTACGTATTTGGAATGTTCAAAAACCTCGTCAATAAAAATTTGTTAAAGACACAATTTTCTGCAGGTACAGGTCCAAGAATGACAGCTGCCTACATCTGAAACATGGTAAGAACGACTCTCTGGTCCTACTGCTGACATTCGTTATAAACAGAGGCACTTGCTTGCGAATCTCCTTGCTCACTCAGCATTGCTCCTTTAAAGAGGAAACTCCACCAAAATCAAATTAGCGCTTTAAAAAGAATCTGATGGTTTTTATACCGGCTACGTATTTGCAATATCGTGTGCGTTCATCTCTCCCCTTCTTCCTGCTCTGCCCCTTTCATCTTTCTCCATCCCCTTTTCCCTGACTCTCTTCTCAGCCATTCCTTACTCGGAGTGGCAAATCTGCCTCCTTAAAAAACAAACAAACAACAACACAAACCAGCAAGCAAAACGCGGTCTCTCTCCGCACCCGGGGCTGGGTGAGGAGCCCAGGCCATTCTGTCTCAGCTCGGCTCCTTCTGCTCTCTAGGGCTTCCTTTCAATTGAGATGACACACAGATACTTAAAAGTTACTCATTTGTTTCTCGTAAGAAAGATGTGCTCTATTTATTTATTTATTCAACCTGTCATGGGGACTACTTACTTGATTAATTGTATTCTGCTACCAGGATTTTTCTTTATTGGTAACCATTGCTAGATCTCCCTCTACTATTTGCAAGTAATACTCATCTCATTTCTTTTTGCTCTAAAATTATTTTTGACCACATAACCACCAGCCCAGGGAACCTGCCTTGTACACTGACTTGGTCTTTGCTAAGTTTTTCAAAACGTAGTGTGTCCGCATTTTCTCCCAGTGACAGTTCTCGAAGGAGCCACCTTGGATTCTGCTGTCTCTCTAGCAGCCACATCCAGGTGCTGTCCGTTCTGTCTCTTGGGTCTGTCTGGCTTTCCTCTCTCACTTGCCACAGCCCAGCTCGGAGCACAGACTTTCCATCGGATTACTGCAGTAGCCTTTGGGGCATTTTCCTGCCAGTTTCCAGAGGAATTTGCTCAAACACCGACTGATTATGTCACTTCCCAACTAAAACAGTCGGTGCTTTTCACCGCCCGTAGGATCAAGAGCAAACCACTTAGTGCTGCCCCACCTCTCCCCTCTCCTCAGAGTTCAGCCTTCAGCTGCTCTCTCTCCGCCCCTCCTGCCCTCCTGCCCTCCCGCCTGTCTTGTGAGTCCTGTGCTCAGGCCAGGCAGAGTTACTAGCGGTTCCCAGGTGGGTGCCGGCTGCTGCACGCACTGCCTTGTGCTTGGAGGGCCGGGTGCCTGAGTGGAGCGCTGGCCTGCAGACCATTTGGCTCTTGACTAGAACCAGGTGACTCCTACTTTGTCTTTAGAACTACATTTTGGTGCTGAAATGTCAATGGAGTTTCCCAAAGGAGCCAGCAGAGGTTTGGGAACCAAGTAGATCTGAATTTTAAATCCACCTTTTGCCTGGGCAATCTATTTCAGCTTTTTTTGTTTTTTTTAATCCTCACCAAACGATACGTTTTTTATTGATTTTAGAGAGAGAGGAAGGGAGGGAGAGACACACACATCAATGTGAGAGAGAAATATTGGTTGGCTGCCTCCTGAACGTGCCCTGACTGGGGATTGAACCTGAAACCTATGTATGTGCCCTGACCAGGAATTGAACCTGTAATCTTTTGGTGCATGGGATGATGCTCCAACCAACTGGGCCACCCGGCCAGGGCTCTACTTCAGCTTTTTCATCTTCGTTCTCCTCATCTATGAAATGGGGATGGTAACACCTGCCACCTGCAGTTGTTTCTGTGCCACAGGTGCCTGCCTTCCTCCTCCACCCTCACTGAGACCCGACTCAGGTGCTCTCTCCTCCGTGCAACTCCCTGATCTTACTCAGATTCCCAGGTTCTTCAGCATCCCATCACGGTAGTTCTGTGATATCAAAAGTCTTCTAACCCTGGCCAGGTAGCTCAGTTGCTTAGAGCATTGTCCCCACCTAGGAAGGTTGTGGGTTCAATCCCCAGTCAGGGCACATATAAGAATCAACCAATGAATGCATAAATGAATAGAACAACAAATCTCTCTCAAAATCATTTAAAACACAACTCTTCTAAACTAATGCAGAGAGGCAGGCTTTTCTCTGAGTGAAAAGAGGGCCATTCCTGCATCAAGGTGTCCAAACAAAGAATCCAAAAAATGTCACAGATGCTCACCTTTAATTCAGCCTGACAGCTACGATCCGAGGACCTATTCTGAGGCCTCCCCACTTGGTGATGAGGAGCAAGGAGCAGAAAGATGACTTTATCGCCGGCCCTGCCTCCAGAAGCTCATGGCTTCTATCATAATAGAAGTAATTCTAGTAACCATCACACACACGAGCTTGTGTGGGATTTTTTGCACTCCTTTTAAATACTGACGCAGGTCTGGACAGCAGTCTTTCCTTCTGTGCTCTTCCCCCAAAGGGGAGATCCTCCAAAGTGCAGTGTGCTGAGGACTGACCTTCACAGACTCGCTCCACCTTCTGTTTGCAGCAAAATCTCTAATGCTGTTTCTATTAAAAACCATGGGAAATGTATTACTATATTTCAGAGTTTGTATTTGGTTTTGTGTCCTTATTGATTAACATTACCTAGTATTTTCCATTAGAAGATTAAGCAGAGTTTGTGTCCTAGAGTGAGTGTATCCCAATCAACTTTTTTAAAAAAAATAAGTCATAACTATCATTGTGCTTTCTTGTCACTTTTTCTAAAGTTAAGGTGTCCTCTCTAATCTGTCCCAGAAGAAAACAAAATAAAGTGGGCCCCACCCTCTTCCAGCCAAAATTCCCACCAGCTGCTTGTGGGGCTCCAGACGGTGGGGCTTCCCTGGCTGCTGGGCCATCCTTCAGCCTTTGAAGTCACTGTCCCCTCACTGTCCTGCTTCGGAGCGCTGCGCTGGTGGTCCCTTGATAAGAATTACTGAGCAGCCCTAGCTGGTTTGGCTCGGTGGATAGAGCATTGGCCAGTGGACTAAAGGGTCCCGGGTTCGATTCCAGTCAAGGGCACATGCCTGGGTTGTGGCCTCGATCCCCAGTAGGGGGAGTGCAGGAGGCAGCCTATCAATGATTCTCTCTCATCATTGATGTTTCTATCTCTCTCTCCTTCTCCCTTCCTCTCGGAAATCAATAAAAAATATATACATATATAAATATAAATAAATATATAGAGAGAGCAGAAAGGAGCTAAGACTTGCATTCATAAAGATTTCAGTAAATTACGAATAATATCTCTGCTCTTCCCCCACCTTCTCTTTGTGTTAGGAATTCAGGAACTGTGATAGGTATAGTAGTTGACTTGTTTCGTCATCATTCAGCAGGCACTGAGCACCCAACGGAAGCCAGGCTGTGAGAGCCCTGGAAGTAGAGTGCTGGAGGAGGCGCGGGAGCTCCCTGCTCTCACGGTGCTCATACTGCTGCGTGCCGGGTGGTTGATGAAGAATGAATGGGAAGTATATGCGCTGTAATCAAAATGAAGCGGGGATTGTGCTTGGTGTCTGCTTCAGGCTGGCTGCTCAGAAAGGGTCTTTCTGAAGATGTAACACTTGGGGACACCCAGTTGTTACCCCTGAGAAATGGAGGGTGTTGTGTGTATGGTTCTGAAATAGAGCAGTGGCAAAGCAAGGAAAGGCAAGGAAAGAGGAGTGAGGCCCCGGCCCCTCACGTCACCCCTGAGTAAGCTGTGGGGCCTGGGGCGGGTCATTTCCAATCAGTGTCCCTCTGGCTCCTCGCGTGGCAGGACTGAGAGGGCTCCGACCAGCTTCCTAGTCTGCTTTGCTCCCCGTGGTCTGCACTGCCTCCCAGTGTTGTCAGAGAGACTCCGGTCTCTTTTATATTCACTAGTCTGCAGTCTGCATTCTGTGCCTGGGTGGTTTGTAACCATTACACACCTGTGTGATCTCGGATGACTTGTACCCACGGTGGCTGTGTTCTGTTCCTGCAAAGGTCGCCCTGCCTACCCCCTTCTCCCCAGGCCAGGGCCTGGATGCTCTGCTTCTATGGGTTTGATTCTCCGCTGACATGATCAAGTGGCTCCATTTGACAGTCTTGAGTCATGCTAGTGCTGGCTTCACCTTAGATCCAAACCAAAGACAGATAAAACATGTAATTAGAATCAATCATGCCGAAACCGGTTTGGCTCAGTGGATAGAGCGTCGGCCTGCGGACTGAAAGGTCCCAGGTTCGATTCCGGTCAAGGGCATGTACCTGGGTTGCGGGCACATCCCCAGTAGGAGATGTGCAGGAGGCAGCTGATCGATGTTTCTCTCTCATCGATGTTTCTAACTCTCTATCTCTCTCCCTTCCTCTCTGTAAAAAATCAATAAAATATATTAAAAAAAAAAAAGAATCAATCATGTGGGTAGTGCGATGTGAAAGTTCCCACGGCTGGTCTTCAGTTCTGAAGGGAAGTAACGGAGTATTAGCTAAGTCCTGCTGCTCCTCTCTATAGTCAGGTAAAGCTGATGGAGCACAGGGCCCAGGCAGGGGAGATGTCCTGACTCCAACAGGAAGAGTTTGTGTGTGTGTGTGTGTGTTTTATTTTTAATTGATTTCAAAGCGGAAAGGAGAGGAAGAGAAAGATAGAAACATCAATAAGAGAGGATCATTGATCGGCTGCCTCCTACATACCCCCTACTGGGGATTGAGCCTGCAACCCCGGCATGCGCCCAACCTGGAGTCGAACCCTGACCTCCTGGCTCACAGGTCAGTGCTCAACCACTGAGCCACACCGGCTGGGCCGGAAGATACTTTTTTGAGATGGTTTATTTCTCTTATGTACACAGTGAAACGTAACACTGTTTGGTGTCCTTAAAGAAAATCTTTCATCCATGTCTGTTGCTCAAACGCTAGAGACTCTCATGACTGAACTAGTATGGAACCATCAACTCAAAGGAAAATGCCCTGCTAACAAGGAAAAGGCTCTCTTCAGCGAACCAAAAAGCCCTCTGGAAGCTTGTGTTTCTACTCTTCAAAAGATAGGTTTCATTTAAAGCTTCCCCTTTTGCTGATGGGAAATGCCACTGCAGTCGCCTCATGCAGACCGAGATAGAACCTGGCGATTAAGCAGTTCCT